TACAACAGGAAGTACTACCTCTACGTGTGATGTCACATGTTCCTCGTCGGACTGAACCCCTATAGGTCTGTATAGTGGAAAGTACAGCCTCACCCCTTTATAAAGCGGACGGCATCCGTGAGGTGATCATCTTCGAGACGATCAGCCTCCGATAAAGCGACCAACACATCAAGATCTGATCCACGAGCGACCGCAGACCCAAACATGAGGCCCTACTGCATCTTCATCGCCTGCCTTGTGCTCTTCGCTTTCTGCTCACTGGCTCGCAGTGAATGTGCGTCTTTTTCTTTATTTCTTTATTTTTGTTTTTAGTTAAACAATAGACTATTAATAATTTAATGTACATTAAGCGTTTTCTTGATTTCTAAATGTATCCCATTCATATATTGATTAATATTTAGTGTTTTAACACCTTTTTTTTTTTCCTGCAGTCAGCCAAGGTCCCGATAAGTGCTGCTTTTCTTTTTCCAATATAAAAATCCCAATAAAGCAGGTCGAGAGTCATCATACTACACATCTTGAGTGCCACAGGAGTGGTATAATGTAAGTATTTTTGTAATGTCTTAATTCAAATGAATTGTGAATAAAGCATGTGAAATCATGAACCATCTTCTCTTTTGAAATTTCAGTGTCATCACAAAAGCCCAAAGAGAGATCTGTGTTGACCCGACAGAGAGATGGGTTCAGAGACTGATAAACTTGGTGGATGCTCGAAACATGAAGGAGATGTCACAGAGCAGCGACTAAGATGTGAACGGCTCTTCTCTTTTCAAACTATTGAATTGAACAGTTTTCAAACTGATTTTAAGCTTTTATTTAAAAAAATAAAAAAATAAAAACTGATGTATGCACCTGCACAATGCTGTTAATCAATTATGATGATTGTGATATTTATATGTATTAAACCATATTTAAACTAAAATTGTTGCGTTTAATGTAAACCTGTTTGAATTTTAACAAAACCATACAATAAAAATATGGTATCGATCGATCTATCTATCTATCTATCTATCTATCTATCTAGCTCGATCGATAGATCGATCATACATGTACATTAATGTTCTATCTATCGATCTATCGTACTTTTTAGATCTTAGATTTCAGAGAATTTTAGAGAAATGGTTGTTATAGAGGCATGTTTGAGCCTAAGAATGGAAATACTGATGTCTATCATTCTTTGATGGAATTTTCTGACTTCATAGTCATGTGTGTTTGAAACGGGTCTACATAAAGAACAAGTACAATGGTGTTCGAGGAGGTGCTGTAATATGCGGCCAGTGGGTACAGGAGCATAGATATATCGATAGATCGATCGATCGATAGGATTAAAGTTGAGGCTTCAGCCGTCTCCGACTCATGCATAAGCAGGTGTGGGTTTTTGCAAAAGCAAGATATGAAACCACAGAGCTCCAAATAGAACCGCAGAGGGAGGTCAGGTTGATGAGAACATCGTATTTTTCCCTTTCAACGCCACGTTTACCGGGTACTCAAATACCAATTATTTCTCATCTGTATATAAATACAATATATATAAATATTAATATGTACATGTATTCACATAAATACTAAAATTGATCACTTCTACTACTAATAATAATAGTTGTTGTGATTATTTTATATACACATTGTAAAAAGTGATAACATGTACATTAATGTTCTATTATCTCACCCTTAAAAATTACTTTCAGTAATATTGAATAATGCTGAATATTATTTTTATAAATTAATATAAATAATTTTACATAAAATAAAACTTTTGAATATTATTATTTATTTATTTATTGCCTTCTTCAGAAATTGCTGTATGAAGCTAATTTTAAATTACATGACAAAACATTTGACTGCAAGGATGACTTTTAAAAGTGTGCAAAAGTGCTATATGTGTGTGTGAGTGTACATAATATAATATAATAGAATAGAATAGAGTAGAATATATGGTGATGACTAAAATTAGAATTCTCACCTATGTGGTTTTATAAGTAATGATCACTGTAATGAAACTGCTTTCCATCTTGGTCCTACAGCTTAAAGTTCACATTTTGCAGTGTCTCTTTGGACGCACGATTAGCTTTGATCTTTGGAGAGCTGGTGTACATTGTGCTGCCAGAAATGTTAGACTTTGTCAAAACTTCTCCAATACTACTTGTTTAAAGACCTTGTTAAAAAATAAACCCTGAACCTTTTGATCTTACTCACAAATGAGCAGCCTGTAACATCAAAACCAGATGTCAGGATATCTTACAGCAATAAAATAAGCGGCTTCATGGCTTCAGTCATGGAACCACGTAAGAGGCAGTTCAGGAGACGAGCCACTAAGAAGCGCTGTTACATGTGAAATCATTTGCCGTCCCAAAACCTCTTGTTATGAGAGCAGTTGATATATTTCTTCACAAAAACAGATATAGTACATTCCAACAGGTCTTTTAACACTCCCATTTAAAGTCACGAATATGGTGTAGCCTACAACTGCTTTGTTAGACTAAATTATTTATTCACAAATTAAATAAAAACTGATCGTGATTGTTCTGACAGTCCTCGGTATCAAACATAAGCACAGCCACTGAATCAGTCACTTTTGGTGAAATAGCTCTGTCTAAAAAAAACCTACATATCCTGTCATGCTCACAGGTAATTTTTCTCTTCACACAGGATACAAGAAGCTGATAAAAAGGCCTAGGCAAACAGGAATGTGTACCTTTCTAAAGAGTACTGTCTGTATTTGTGACTTTCCTCAACCCCTTCCTTATCTACTTACATAATATCTGCTGTCAGAAACCCTGTGCTGTTTTAGGAATGTCATTTTTCATTAATTGGATGCACTACATCATTGTTATCAGTTGCGCAAGGACCTGCACAGCTATGAGAAACAGACCTTTCAGTCTCATTCTTATCAAAACCCTGTGAACCTAAACTTATCATCCATTGTAAGAAGGCAACTCAATATAGATGGCATTCCAGAAAAGACAACGATATCTTGAAACTTTAAATAAATAATGTACATTGCTGCATAAGAGTAGCTGATGATAGAAATGTAAATCGGTATGATCCCTCTGACAAATAACTGGATGAATATAAAAGAAAGGAAACCTCTACAGTAACCCATAATACTGCGAGCAGTGTTATTTTAGTATTATTTACAAAAATATTATAGTTTTCATAAATTTTTTATATTTTATTATATTATATAATAATAATAATAATAATAATAATATTATATATATTAATAATATAAAACATTAATTTAAACATTTTTTAGTTTCCAATTTATTTTTATATTAAGTTTTAATTATATATATATATATATATATATATAAGTTGCCAAGGCAACATTTCTCATTTTTAAATGTATTTTTTTTCCATCTAATATTTATATTTTATTTCAGTTTTATTTCAAATACTGAAAACAAATTTTAATTAGTTTTAATTTTAGTTGATTAACAAAACAAAAAAAACCCACTGATGGCAAGTGAGAATATACAATAATATGGCACGTTTGCTGATCAAGGCAAATTATGTGGTTGTGGTTTTGACTGTCTGTATGAAACCTCCGCATTTTCAAAAACAAACGAAGTTAATAAATGTTACCCTGCAAAAAAAATAACCACAAAAAAATAAAAATCCCTTCTGCCCCCATTTTGTTTCATCATTTCTCATGAGTGCGAGAAATGGCCAAACAAAGACAACTGTACTAGAAAAATGCCATGTGCTGGGATGAATTCAAGAGGAGAGGAGATTGATAAACAACTCCATAAGAGGTGTTTTGTTGGCAAATGCCAATGTTGACTGAATCACTGGCCAATTGCACACTGAATTTCTGGGATTATCACACTGATAAACCACAGACAAATAGCTGTTTGGTTTAGTTAACCAACTTCAGTAACCATTGTCTAATAGTCTTAACAGAGAAGAATGAAATCAACATGGCCTTTTTGTGCTAATACTTAGGTATACTTTTGTATTCAGTTTCACATATAAACCCCCCCCACCCCCAGCTAAATCACATGATAATCTTTGCTTTGCTCGTGTGGTGCTTATTTGTGCTAGTTGAGAACTTGATGTCATAGGGAATACAGACCAAGCATTTTAACCTTTTTGACCTCAAAGCTATTCATTCTCCACAACAATATTTGAAGGCCCCATTACTTTTCCAGTTATTCGTGATTTACTGGATATTTAAAAAACAATAATAAAAAATTTCCTCCAATTTCTACAGCATATTTTTTTTTTAAGTAAAAATGTATATTCATTATAAAAAAAAAAAACATCCCATGATGGTTTTACAATTTTATGAATTTACATATGACATTTCCAGTTCTAGAAATTGCACTTTTAAAATTAGGCTTCCTCAGGTTTTTCAAGACTGTTTTGGCAGGGTGAATTAAAATAAGAATTATCTTGATTTTTTGTTGTTTTGGCTTATTTTAATGCTTGTTTTGTCATCTTGAGGCCCCCTCGTTGAGAGCCCTTGTCTTAATGTACTTTACAACTTTGGGTCTTCATTTGCATGAGAACATGGGACAGATACTATAGTCATTAGTCACTTCATGTGATGAAAAATAGGTCCGGTGTGTGTGAAGCTTGCCATGCTTTCCAAAAAACATAAAATTAATTATAACAAATGTATTTCATAAAAAATGTTTTAATCAACCGCTAAAAGGAATCGTTCAGCTAAACTGAAAATACTATCATTATTTACTAAATTTTTTTTGTGTTTCACAGATAACTAAGTTCACATTTAGCTCCCTAAATGTGAGCTAAGTTCACATTTAGCTTTTTAGATTTATACATTTTTTAAAACATGTCCAAACACACAAATCAGTGTCTTGAAACGCTCCTGATATGGGGCAGGGCCTCTGACCCAGGACAGCACAGCTGGGAGTTCTTTCAGATGAGTTTGGGAAAATTCCTCATGAGACGAGACTCTCAAAAAGATCCAAACAAACCCTGACAAGAGCACCACAAGACTTTTCAACCTCATTTTGGAACAAGATGATCACCAATGCAACCCAGTTGTATTCTTTGCTTTAAATAAAGTATGGTAGATAAATACATTTCAATGTGTTTTTCTAACTACACAACAGTCATATATCTAGTTACTGGCTTTTAGAGGTTACATGCTGTTACAGTGACCCTGGAAATGTAAGTAATGTAATATAATGTAATGTAATAAGTACTCAGAGCACAGCAGCAGTGGTTCATAATTCTTTACATCTCTCTCAGTCATATCAGATTACTTGTCCTTCTCCAAAAACATATTTTCAATATTTGTCTTGATTTATCCCTCATGCGTTTATCACCTCATCGGTTTTCTCAAGCTGTAAATCTGCCAAAGAAAAATCACATGTTGAACTTTGGGACTTTTGCGAACATCTTTGTTCCATCCTCCGCACATGCCCTCACCTCAAAAGGTCAAAGATCAGCTTTTCAGCGCATTACATCTCTGTGTGAGCACAGCTATAATATTGCACTTCTAGTAGACATTCCTCTTTGACATTTCATGGAAGAAGGGCTTTGGTGTGTCACCAGTGTTTTGGTTGGCTGTAGAAGGAAGAAGACATCTCCTAAAACAGATATTCAGTCAAACTGACATGCAAAGTATAATGGGTAAGGCAGTGCCAGGTACAGTTTCATAGCTTTAAAAAGATCAAATATGACATGTACACAGAAGTGCAATTACTTTTCTAAGTGATCAGACCATTTTTGGCTGGTGAACGAAAAATTCCCAATGGCTTACATTCACGGAGGGACCCAAGTCATATCTAGAGACGGAAATATCACAACCAACTGATCTAGACTAGTATGTAACCACTTTCAGCTAGTCACCCTAACACCCTAGCAACCACAGCAATTCTCCAGCAACCACTCAGAGTTATGGGACGGCACCCATTCAATGTATTTTAATTGTAAATTTAGAAAATGTTTATGTGTGTGTGTAATAATAATAATAATAATAATAATAATAATAATAATAATAATAACAACAACAATACAAATATAATATTAATAAGGCATAATGTCTTTAAAAAAAGAGAGAAATGTTATGTGAAAGTTAAAACACCGCTGCGTAGGCTATACAACAACAGAGTCAAGTGATTCCCATGAGGCCACAAGCTATCATCTGTGATAATCACCACTACAGGAAGTGAAATGCATCAATACAAACTGGACCTCTATTATAAACATGAATGGACCATTGTGACTATCTAGGCATGAGTGGGTTGGTTTGTACATTTGGCCAAGACATACAGGACAGTGCCCTTGTGTGTCCTTCACCCGTGCTGAGGAGAGAAGTTCAAGACTCAGCCATGGCTGAACAAGATTCCCCCATTCTGCCCACAGGGATATTGCTCCCGGCACACTCACAGAGACAGATTTCCATTGCATCCATGTCCCACACTGGGTAAACACCCTCTGGCTCAGCTTACCTCAGTAGCTACACCCAAACTCTCGCCATTGACATATCTGATCTGACCACTCTAAATGTTTTGATCAGGGGTCTCCAAACTCGGTCCTGCAGAGTTAAGCTCCAATTTGCCTCAACACACCTGCCTGGAAGTTTCTAGTATGCCTAGTAAGACCTTAATTAGCGGGTTCAGGTGTGTTTAATTAGAGTAGGAGCTAAACTCTGCAGGACACCGGCCCTTCAGGACCGAATTTGGTGACCCCTGGTTTTGATGATATCTGGGAGTCTCAGTGTGTTGTTTACACTTTTGGGGGAGATAGACCCATGAATGGAATATTTATAGTAGTGAATGAACAATAAACTGGGTTAAGAGAATGTATTTGGACAAAAAGTCTTTCAAACTTCACCTTTAAACTTTGGTAATCAAAGGTTAACATGTGCTACTCATTGTAATGCATTAGGGGGAGACAAATACTCACAAACTCTATACTGGGTACTATTGAGAATGTAACTGTAACACCTGGACCTTCTCATTAGAGTCTTTTTGGGAAGACCACGTGATGTCATGGTTTTATTTATTTATTTATTTTGTGTGTGTGGCCTTTGGGGAGGGTTGAGGGTGGGGGGTTTTGTGGTTGTGTTGATTTGTTTTGGCTCTTGTTTTCCCGCTTATCAGACATCCTGTCTCATTTTGGAACTGAGGTAATACATTTTATATGTCAGGAAAAAGAAAAAAAGAAAGAAAAAAAAAGAAATGCAAACCTTTTTTTTTTTTTAAATAAATCAAACCAACACAGACCATCATCAACAAATACATAATCTCCATAAACATTCTATGGAAATGTCGGTGCACACAGCTGCAAATAGATTTTTCTAATCTAAGACATTAAATACTACAAAATTTCCAGAGACTGAGTGTTCTTTTTTTAAAAGATTTATTTATAGCGTTTTATGCCTTTATTTTGATAGGACAGTAAAGGTCGACAGGAAGTGAAGGGGGTGAGAGAGAGGGGGATGGGATTGGGAAAGGTCTGCGAGCCGGGATTCGAACTCGTGACAGATCAGCATCGACAGAGCTTGAGTGTTCAACTCAGAATGGAGATGTTAAAAAAAGTTTGCCGCATACTTAGAGGCATTCTCCTCACATACTTGAGAGTGTCTCCAGGACTATGTGATGAGTAACACACTCGTGAGGCCTCGTGGCCCGGGTTCAGCGCTCCTCTGCATTGCTGTCAGCCAGTTCATCTTCAGCTCTGTCAAGCAAGGGCTTTCTACGTCTGAAACAATTAGCAACTTGATGTGAGCTTTCATGAGTACAACAGCCTAACCTTGACACCAGTGACACAGTTCGGCAAAAGAAGAATAAGAATATCATATTCTTTGATGTGTCATTACTTTAGTGAAAATGATTAGATAAGTTAAACTATTACTAAACTATTTCTATTACTTAACTATTTCTGATTCCCATAAGCAAAAAAGTTAAAATGGTTACTTAAAAAACAAACAAAATTTTTTTCAAGATTTTTATGCAAAAGCGTTTTGTTGACTGTATTCATGCATGTAGCTCAACCACTCAACTATTCATTTTTAATTTTATTGAATTGAAATATAGGTTTATCAACATCTATAAACCAACATTTGGTCCCAAAGTAGCTAGAACTTGTTAGAACTCTGCAAATTTGTCATTCGCAACACTGTTACCCATTCTGGAATAGTTTGTATTTAATATTGTGAATCTTATTTAATGTATTTGTTTACATTTTAATGCTAGAAAACAACAAAAAATGACCGATCATTGTTTTAAAACGTGGCCCAACTTTAAATAAAGGGTTGTATTCGAGTCCCTTCAGTTCCTCTGTCTAGATTTTATTTATTCAATATTTTTTTTTGGCAAACTTTCTATTTACCAATAGAAAAAGGCCTGACCTGCAGCACACAGACATTGCCTTTAGTAACTGAATTTGTTCATACTTTTATGAACTCATAAGAAGTTTTACACCCAATGACCCTGCAAAAACATGCACAAGAATGTTTTCCCTTGCTCTACTTATTTTTCTCTCCAGTGTAAAACACATTTTGGAATGTGATAATTTGACTTGACAGATCAAAATTGGTTTGGTTGCCAACAAGATACATGGAACCAGTTGCATAATACATAATTGGGAACAGAAGTTAGAGCTCTATTGTCTCATCTTTATTATATCTTCCACTATCTGTGTTCAGATTCTCTTTACAGCTGAATTTCTTAGCCATGGTTGATCTTATCAGCATTATTTATGAAGCATGTATTTGATAAGTGCTGACATTTCTGTACAGTATATCCTCCTGATATCCTTATTGAAAACCATATGCATTCTGTCAAAATGAAAATGATTGATATCCTGCAGCCATATTCATTGTCCTGTATCTGCCTGAAAACACTGAATATTTCAAACTTCATATTTTCCCCCATTTAAATTATACATTTCAATCTGCATTAACTATACGAGCTATTCTACTGAACGCAGTGTTGTAAAGTGTTTTCTTTTGTTTCTTTCTTTTTTAAAAATAAATGTTAGGTATTCACTTTGTAAAATCTTATCTATATGTGACAACCTCACACTTCCCACTCACTCTTTCACATACAGCAGACATATACTGTGTGTCCCTAACCAGCTGTGATGGAGCGCTCCTCTTCCTGAGGGATTTATCTATAGCGCCGGATGTTTGGGAGCTTTCGAATCATGAAAATCTTCCTCTTCCTCTCATGGTTCAACATGGGAAGGACTCAAGGTCAGGGAACGTACTCTTGCACAACCCTAAAAAGTATGTATTTATTTATGAAATAAGGACTTTTATTTGTATTATCCGTTATTTTGAGTGACTTGTAAAAAAGGTTTCATTCAAAGGTATTCTTTTCTTTTTTTTATCACATCATGCATATCAATGTCACAATCATATTTACTTATTTATGAAAAAAGGACTTTCGTTTAATTTTATTTTTATTTTCTGATATCTATCTCTGTTTTATGAAATAAGGGCTTTTATTTTATTTTATTGTTGATTATTTTAAATGACTCATAAACAAAGATTTCAGTCAGAGGTATTATTTTCTCTTTTTTACCACATTTCATGCATTTCAGTGGTACAATAGACTTCCTTCTGATTTGATTTGACATACATTTCCATTTTAAGTTGTTTAGCACAAGCAAGGCAAACATTCTTTTAAGTATTTATTCAACAAAAGTCTTCGTGTAAGAATTTCTGCTGTGGAAAGATGTAGGTCTTGATTTGGTAATTCCATAAACCCTTCATTTTTTCATTTTGACCGATTTATTTGTGGTGTTTCTTGAGTGTTTCAGGTCATTGTCTTGTTATTGCTATGTCCACTTGTGGTTCAGTCTCAGCCTTTAAACAGATGGTCTCACATTCCCCTCAAACTACTTTCTGGTTTTGTGTAATTCATGGTTGACTCAGCGACGACAGTCTGGCCAGACCCTGAGGCTCAACAGCAGCCCAAAACCATAATGCTTCCACCACCAAGCTTTACAGATGGTCCGAGGTGCTGCTGGCCAAAGGCAATCCTTGTTTTTTGCCAAACATGTCAGGCTTTGGTGCCAGTCAGCTCTAACTCTGTCTCATCTGTCCACACCACACTGTTACAACACTACTTAGATGTTGTTTGGCAAACATGCCTGATGAATCTGCAGTATAAAACCTGTAGCCTCATAGGTTTCCTGATCACTTCCAGCAATTGTTATTGATCAGCTCGTGTGGTGAAATCATTTGACCTGATAGATAGCCAGTGGTTTGAAATGTTCCCAAATATACAATATTTCAACCAATCAGTAATAACAAATTGACAATGTTGAAAACATTTAAAGATATATATATATATATATATGACACAATAATTTGATGAAAAGTATGACAAAAATGTTACAAATAGGTTTCAAATTTCTTTTGAACTTTGTTAATTAAATAACTGAAAAAAGCTTTCCACAAAAAATTGGATTATAATAAGAAATGTGTCTTGAACATAAAATTTGCATATTAGAATGATGCCTGAAGGATCATGTAACACTAAAGTAAAAATTCAGCTTTGCCATCACAGGAATAACATTTTAAAATATATTAAAACATAAAACAGTCATTTTAAATTGTAATAATATTACATAATATTACAGTTTTTTATTGAATTTTTAATCAATTAATGCAGTCTGGTATGCATAAGAGACTTTTCAAAAACATTAAAACAATTTTAACTGTAGTGTATGTAATTTTCAGTATTGCTATTTGAACAATAAATCATTTTAAAAATAAAGAAAAACTGCAAACTTTTTATATCTTAAACATACTTTTCCCACACCCTTGTAGCTTGTCCTTAAGTAAGCATGTTCCATCAGTTGGACAGAATATTCCGTGACCGGTAGTGAGGAAAAGTCAGGTGTTCCCTGCTTATCATATCCTGCTGTCAAGAAAATGACCAGATGAGAATCCACCCTGTGCTTGCGTTTCCTAGGACATACAGTACATGATGCAACAAATAGGAAGTCATCACTCATGCTGACTGCCCTGTTAATGCAGGACAAAGATCTGCTGAAAACATTATGTACTGTCTCCTTTGGGACTGCCAGTTTTTAATATGATTACCAATATGTGTTTTCATTCTGTACATCAATCTGACCTGTCTTTCACATTTCTAGACACAGACAGGCTTGGAATGGGAAAACTAAGGGAACATTATTACTTGTATAATGTAATTTTGTTTTGTGAATTAACATTGTGAACTGCCATAATGAATAATTGCACTTTTTAAAAGTCAAAATAATAATAAATATGTATAAAACTAAACAACCACCAACCAAGAAGCCAGAAGCTTTTTTTTTTTTTTTGAAGTAAGTAAAAAGAGCAGAGTAAAAAGAGTATTTTAATCTGGAATAAATTAAGTCAAGACGTAACAAGACTCAAACAGAAACCCCGAATACAAAGGACTTTTAAATGAGTTAGATCTTTATTAAGTTGAATAATGTCCACCTTTCTGAACAGTAGTGTCTCACATAGTCTGTCCACACTGGTTAAAACACAATGAGCAACAAGCACACATACACAGACTACTTCACAATATTTGCAAACCAAATTGCACCCATATACATGTACATACTTGGTCAAACGCACAAATGCAGAACCCTACATCATGGCCAAAAAAAAAAAAAATCTGATGTGCAAACATGAATCTGGATTTTTTCATTTGAGACTCACATCAAACTGTGCATGGAGCATTAATGAAAGTCTTTGAAGAATGCCAGTTTATTTTTATGAGCATGTAATGGTATTGTAGAATACGACATCTCTAGTGTCACAAATCTGACTGAGGTGGGTGTGTCTCAAGGCACCGAGGCAGCTTATAGTTTTAATTGATTGACTAAACAGGCTTAGAGGTTTAGTTAGATATCAGTGGAGATATTTCACATAAGCAAATGGGCATCCAGATCAAAGCAGATCAGATTTAAAGGAACAGTATAATATAAAATATAACAGTATTTTTTTTCTTAAAAAAAGGGATAGTCCACCCAAAAATGTCACCTCACTCTCATGTCACTCCATTTCTTTTTTCTGCCGAACACAGAAGAATATTTCTCAAGAACGTTGATAACCAAACCATTTTGCTTCCCATTGATTTACATTGCATTTTTTGTCCATACAATGGAACCGAAACAGTTTAGTTACCAACATTCTTCAAAACATCTTCTTTTGTGTTCTGCATGAGGGTGAGTAAATGACAGAATTGTCATTTTTGGGTGAACTGTCAATGACACCAAACATCAGTATGTCTTGTAACTGATCATGAGAAGCCAAATTACAATATATACATACATGACAATTTTCAGCAAATAATCATTTAAATTTGAGCTTTTTCTTTCCACAATGCTATCACATGGCTTCAGAAGACTTGGAATATAGTATATAAGTCATATCTAACTACTTTTATGGTAATTTTTTGAGCTTGTATAGAAAAGAGCAGTGTGACTATTTTGCTAAAAATCTCCTTTTTTTATCAACCATTTGAAATGACATGAGGGTGAGTAAACAGTGACAGAAGTGTAATTTTTTGAGTAAACTACCCCTTTAACGATCATTTAGTTTAGTGCATGAAATTCTATCAATTCACGTTCAGATCCTAAAAATCTGCATGAGAAAATGCGATAGCTCTAGATAACTGCTTGGCAAGGGGTGGATATAGAGGTAAAGAGTTCATTAAATCATTAAATGCTGATATAATATGACTAAATACATATTTAGATCCAAAGCCACTGCTCTTTCAATGAGCATGTGAACACAGAAACGCTCAGAAATAGCTCACATCACTTGAATAAAGCTGTTTTGCGGCATCATTCTTTTTAATTCTTTGGAAATCAGACGGGAATTATATAAACACTACTATTACCCTAGTTAGTTTAGACATGTTAGGCATTAACATTTACAGTAGACTACTGACAAGGATACTAGCTCTATGGGTCCATCAAGAACACTAAACACTGAATCTTCTGACGTGACGGCTATACAGTTTTAACAGTCTCTTGGTCAGGCTAGAAAGGACTCGCATTCATTAAAGATGCTGCCTTAACGAGAAGAGAATACAGTTACACCTGCTTCTAAAAGGAATTTCGCTTTTCTTGCTAGATTTTAACAATAGAATACAACTGATACAAAGATTTAGAATAAAGATTCATGTTTTTCTGCATTAATTAATGTCTCGCCCCTCCTGAGACACAGATCAGTCTGATATACACTACTTTTTAAAAGTTTGGGGTCAGTGATATTATGATTTCTAAAGGATCACGTGACATGGAAGACGGCTGGGAACAGAAGTAACGGCTTCTGAAAATTCAGATTTTCCATCACAGTAATAAATTACATTTCAAAATAGATTAAACTGGAAAATAGTTGTCTTGAATTGTAATATTATTTCACAATATTACTGTTTTCACTATACTTCAGATCAAAATAAATGCAGTCTTGGCAACGTATTGACTCTAAACCTTTGAACAGTAGTGTAAATTGAGTGTGAAAGTGAAATACATTTGTGAAAGAATTTTAGCGTTTCCTAACCAGACACAATGCAACAAGTAATCATCTGAACACAAAACAACTATGCAACATGACACAACGACAACCAATCAGAAGATAATGTTTAATGTAATTACCTGAAGTAGATTTTTTAAACCAATGAGATTTCACTGTGGGAAAGGCTAGCAAGCAAATTGTCACAGAAACTGAAATCATGCGATCAACAAAAAGTACTGTTTTACATTTAATATCTTTTATCGCAACATGTCTGGTTAGGACAGTTTTATAGTCATGATAGCCGAACAGATGAAATTGAAATGATGGCATAAAAATACGACCTAAAATCTGAAAGCACACATAAAACATTTTTAAACACTGCAGACAGCACAATTTGTTCATGAAAAATAAAACAAAACTAAACTAAAAATTACAAACACAGGTCAAAAGAGTTGAGGTGGGTAATTTTCAAATTCATTCTTGCTAGTCGTCCAGCCATCAATAATTCAGCTGCAACCTAAATTCAAGCTTTATGTGTTCCCAAAATTGATCCCAATTCCAAAACAATCTTACTCTGGAACCTTTCTTTTGGAGGGCGGCACAAGATGAGCGGGCAGTTCGCTTGGAAGCTCGTGACCTTCTAGTTTGACCTTGATCAGGTGATTGGCCAAGGCAAACTCCTCGTCATCGAGCATCCCATCGTTATCAATGTCAGCCAGTTTCCAGATCTTACCCAGCACAGTGTTTGGCAGCTTGGACTTCACCATCTCCTTCTTGGCATTGGCTCCAGTCACTTTTCCATTGACGGGTGAGAGAGTGTAGAAGATTTCATCATACATAGGTTTGTCACGTGCCACCACCCATTCGACTTCATCAATGCCCTCGCCGGCTCCCTCGCCATATCCGTGTCCGAACGGCCCATTCATGGTTCCCTCGAAGGCACCGCCCTTCACCACCTGGTTGGGGTGCTGCGTCTCCTCCTGGCGCACCAGAACCATAAGCTGGGCAATGTCGTGGGCCAGCATGTCATCCACGGTGTCCAATAGCTTCATTTTCAGAGGGTGAAACTTGTTCAGATCTTGTGCTTGAAGCTGCTCCTATTCAGTGGGAAAGAAAGCAAGAAAAAAACACTGTAGGACATACCAAAAGATCCTGTCAACATCTGTTGATATTTCCAGGGTAAACCAGCTCCACTCCCTTCACATACTCTGTTCCAGACAGGCTGTGTCAGGTTGTTGATGCTTGATGCTTTGGCTTCTTTTGGAAATAGTTTCATTGGTGGAGAAGAAACATACAAACTAACTAGCCAAATTTAGTCTGAAACGCAAATGACTCAATATTCATTTGTTTATAGAACTGTTGTATAAAAGTAACAGTAATCTCAACAGCATTTTTACTCAAGTGTTTTTGTTTTAACTATAGAAAAGGCACGTCATCAGGTTTGGAGAGGTCCACCCAAAGCTGAAATTTATATAGCTGTTTGTTGATGTAAAAACTGTGGGACAAATTATGCTGATTTTGAATGTGCACTCAAAGACCCTTTAGAAGTCCCAGTGAAGCATTCTTGAGTCAGCCTCAATCTTTGTTGGCTAAATTGACCTTACCTGCATTTTCTTAAGATTAGGGAAGTCGCCCGGGGAAATCTGGTGCTCCCTCTCAATGCGGCTGTAGATCTCGCCCAAGCTGTTAATCAGCTCCTTCTTTTTGTTGTCCTTCCCAAAGACTGAGGGCATCTCTTTTTTCAAGGAGCTAATGATGTATGCATGGACCTGTGAGAGCACAAAAGCAAAGTTCCTTTTAAGTTTATAGAGCAAAAATCAGTACATCACAATTACAAAGAGCATGTCTGGGCTGTATTTATCACAAAAATAAAATAAACCTTTTGTATAAATAACCTTTGTGAGTCACTCAAAAGCTATAATAAATAAAATTCCTTATTTCATAAATAAATACAATTTTATTGTGACATTTTCATAATTAACATTTATATATATACAGTGGGTACGGAAAGTATTCAGACCCCCTTCAATTTTTCACTCTTTGTTATATTGCAGCCATTTGTCACAGCAAAGGGTCTGAATACTTAGGACCATGTGATATTTCAGTTTTTCTTTTTTAATAAATCTGCAAAAATGTCAACAATTCTGTGTTTTTCTGTCAATATGGGGTGCTGTGTGTACATTAATGAGGAAAAAAAAAAAACTTAAATGATTTTAGCAAATGGCTGCAATATAACAAAGAGTGAAAAATTGAAGGGAGTCTGAATACTTTCCGTACCCACTGTATATATAAAAAACATTGTCTGGAATACATGATTTTGATTGGTCAATCTAGTTGGCATTCTGTAATTTTTGCATGTGAATTTTATAAGTGAATGTGGTTAATTACAGTGAAAAAAGATGAACAGTAAACGGGCTTAATTTTTTGGGATGTAATATGACCTGAACATGTTTTTGACAGGCTGCTTTAGATTCTATAGTCTTTATTGGTTTTCTAACCGACAACAAATTGAGACATTGAATATAAAAAGATGCAGATTTTGACCACTTCATGCAACCCAAATTTGTTATAACATTCATTATGAAACTGGATAGTAGCAAGAATACACAAGCTACTAAATGAATCGTCGTCTGCTTGGCCCCCGGGCGGAAGGAAGGTGACTGCATAAATGATGACAGGAGGGGAAGCACATCTGTATGATCAGGGTGAGGGACAGGGAGAGAACTTAAATGTTCTTTTTCAATGCATCCAGCTGGATCTGGAGATTTAAATTGAGTTCGACAAGTGACCAGCACTGACAGTCCCCAACATTTCCTCTTCCAGAGGGGGTCTCTAAATGTCTCTAAATCTCTAAATGCCCAGCCCATGTGTTTTGAGCAACATTTGTACTGATGGGGATAATAAAGGATTTCAGACGTAAATGAAACGACATCAGAGTGTTTCAGTTTCCTTATAAATGACAGCTTTATGTTTGACTACCTATGTTATTGTTCTTTTATACAGTGGGTATAGAAAAGAATCACCCCCCTTTAAAATAATCACATTTTGTTGCTTTGCAGCCTGAAATGAAGACTGACACAGTTTTTGTTTTATCCAGCTGTACTATATTTACTCAGTGCAACTTATAACATCCATGCCCCTGTTACTCTGTTCCACTATTACCCCCTGTCTGCTGCCCCTGCATGACAACATGTTTGAGTGAACTTCCTTTAGACGTGATATTTTATAATAAGTAATCAAAGTAAGGAAGACTGTAAGATCACTAAAGGTTATTTATAACCATGTCTTTATGAGGAAGGACATTATGAGTCATGATCCCTCAGTATCTTTCAGCACATTTAACAATCCCCACTAATCATCTGACCTCTGAGTCAAAGTCAAGGGCTTTCTTTGCATTTTCTGGTCTAGTTTTTCAGATGTAGCTGATTACCTGCACAACCAGTATCTTGTATGACTTGCATGTTCAATATATGTATTGACATATATTCACATTTATTGTATATAAAAAGAAAGGGACAGACAGACAGATATATGACTACTTGATAATGTTCTTTATACAGAACATACAGTATATATACAAAAGCAGCCCTTAAATATAGCTGAATCAAGCTTGGATTCAAAATGACTGTAGAGGCAAATATTATGTGAGAAAAAAAAATCAATGACTCTGAGTTAGTGTTAATTTCATTAACGAAAACTATGACGAAAAATGTTCGTCAATGAGGTTTTTTCCCCTGACGAAAACGAGACGATGACGAGACGGTAATAAGGTCATTAAACGATAACTGAGACTAAATGAACATGCAATATCGTTGATGAAAAAAGACGGGACTAAAATGTAGTTAAAAAAACTAAAACTTTACCAAAACCTTTTTATTTTTGTTGAAAAAAGTGGAGCCAAAACATTTCAGACTGCTGTACAAGACTATTATTCGAGCGTTCATGTTTGCGGTTGCCAGATATCAGACCTCAAATCCCCCAATCAGAGCTTTTCTGTTAAATGGGTATGTAGGCTACTCTGCCTGGCTTTTTGCTTTATGCAATCTGGCAACCATTCACACGCGCTCTCTCTGCGGAGGCGTCATGATCTGAAAACACCGACATACAGCATGAGCACGCCTTCGCCTCCCTGAACTTTTCGACCACCGTCTCAACGTAGGTACCAAAAAGCTCAGAAGGCGAAACCGGGGCATCGCGAAGAAAGCCCCTTTGGATGGCAAGGAGGGAGTTTTGAGAGACGATGTCTCACCCCTAGAGAGATAGCTGGCTAGCGTCTCTTCTACAGGGGGCATTCTCTCATAGAGGACGCAGTTCGAAGTTCCCATGAAAGGGAACTCCATTTGAGGTATTCTGCTTACATTAAAGTGTCATTCAGCCAGTCTGTGTTCTCTCAGGGATCTCGACCGTATTGTTTGCGATAGTGGTTGCGGATTGTAATGTTTCTTACGCAACCTCTGTGCAGCAATAAGTCTTTTTGCCATTGTTTTAAAAGAGAAACATTAATGCAATTTGGAATGATTGGAATTACTATTAGGAATTTCTCTGTTATAATATTTGAGAGTAGGTTTTTGTTATGCCAGTTTTCATAACGTAGACAGGGCGAGTGTATATCTGAAGTCTTTGGTGTTTATTTAGCCTCTAATTGATATCCTGTTATAAATCTGTACACTAACGTTAGATGAGGTAAAATAAACCATGCATACAGAGTCGATATTCTATTGATTTGTGTCTGTTGGTGAAAGAGCAACTTCTGATGAAATGTCCCAAATGACAACAATCATTGCAATTAAAATTGAGCAAAATAATATATTTTTTTTTCATAATTTTAACCATTATACAGTAAGACGAAAATGTGTAATTTTCCACTGACTAAAACTAGACAAAAATTCTCAGACATTTAGTCGACTAAAACTTGATTAAGACTAAAACAGGACAAGTTGACTAAATATGATAAAAACTAAAAGTTACATTTGACACAGGACTAATACTAAGACTAAATTAAAAATAGCTGACAAAATTAACACTACTCTGAGTTCAGTCTTGATCAAAAATGTAGGCAAACATCAGGGTCATTCACAGAGCCACATCAGCAGACTGTACAGTTTGGAAAATGGCCTCATTACTTGGGCAAAGTCTGCAAGACCAGACAGACAAAAGGCCTGTAAACACACAAAGTGCATGTCACTGCTATTACTTTTATACTAGAGCTATATGCTGGACCACATCAAAAACATGTTGGAACGACAACAGCATTCACACAGCATCTCAACTAAATAAATGGAGAAAAAGATACCTTTTATTCTGAATCACACACTAAATATTTTCCCTTGAAAATCAACATATAAATCCATAAGTGTTTGTTTTGCTTTTAACAAAATTTGCTAGCCAAACTTTGAGCAGTTTGTTAGTTGTTTCCTGCTTTGGTTTCAGGAGTGGTTTGGTTCAGAACTTTCCAAGACTTTGGAACTTAAAGGATTAGTTCACCCAAAAAGGAACATTCTGTCATTATTGTCTGACGTTCCAATGCTGTTATTTTTTCTGTGCAACACACTCTTTTCCATATACAAGAGGAGTTCGTAGTGCTGACTGCTTTTTTTATTTTCAAAGCCATGGTAACTATGAACTATTGTTTGAAAAAGAGCTGCATAAAGAGATTCTTCAAATTTATTATTTTGTATTCTGAGGAAAGAATAACAGTGACTTGAAGAATAACAATGAAGAATAATGAAGAACAGTGAAGAATAACAATGACTTCATTTATTTATATGCTAATTCCAGAGTCTTAACTTATACTGTAGATATAACCTTATTAACAGTCTAGGTGGGTCATTTTTTGGTAGGCTACATCAGTGGTTCCCAACCCTGATCCTGGAGGCACCCCAACACTGCACATTTTGCATGTCTCCTTTCTCTGACACACCAATTTCAGGTCTTGGAGTCTCTACTAATGAGCTGATGATCTGAATCAGGTGTGTTTGATTAAGGAGACATGCAAAACATGCAGTGTTGGGGTGCCTCCAGGACCAGGGTTGGGAACCACTGGGCTACATGTGAAATCTCAAAGGCTAACGTAATAGAATTTTACCTTAGCAAGACGAGCTCTTTTGATCAGATCGTTGAGCTTGCGAAGGGCGGCGTTACGGGGCAGTGACTGGATATCCTTGAACAGGTCTTTCTCTTCAGCCTCAAACAGTTTGCGATTGTCTGGAATCAGTAACGGATGCGACCAAAAAGAGCCGATGTAGACACGAATCACCTCAGGTGTGTTGACAATCTTCCCCAGCGACCACATGAGGGCGCCGTAGACGCGCATTAACTGCTGCGTCTCGATCTGGTCGGCCTTGTTGAGCACAACGCGGATCTTGTCCTCATGGTTCTTGAGGGCCTTGATGACCTCCGAGAACTCGTCTGAGATGTCGAGCTTATGGGCGTCGAACAGCAGAATGATGCGGTCCACGCGTTCGGCGAACCACTCCAACACCGCAGCGAAGTCATAGCCTGAAGGAGAGATTGGAAAAGAGATTGATATCCTGTCCAGTATTTACGGTTCACAAAGCTTTTTGCACAAAGCATTTTCTCGTGGATGCTTGCACGAGAGCAGAGAGACAGCCAGCCAATCAGAACGGGCAAAATGACCTTGTTAGACTTGGCGCTCAACAGTACTGAAGCTGCTGACTCTCTTCCAAGTATCATTAAAATGCTCGGGCCTGTTGTGGTTTTTATGATCTAATGTCTGCCAGTAAATGGCTTCTGCAGCTTAACTTCAGGGCAGTCGTGGCCTAACGGACAGAGAGTCAGACTTGTAACCCGAAGGTCACAAGTTTGAGTGTCAGGTCCGGCAGGGATTGTAGGTGGGGGGGGAGTGAATAACCAGCGCTCCCTTCCACCCTCAATACCATGACTGAGGTTAGACCCTTGAGCAAGGCACCGAACCCCCAACTGCTCCCCGGGTACCGCAGCATTGGCTGCCCACTGCTCCGGGTGTGTGTGTGTGTGTGTGTTTTCACCACTGTGTGTGTGCACTTGGATGGATTAAATGCAGAGCACAAATTCCGAGTTCCGAAATTTTTCTTGGGCTTAGTGTATGCTGCATATACACATATAAATAAACATGAAGCATATTAAGCATACTAAACAGGGGGGCAAAACATGCAGACAGTATATCAAAATAATAATATCTACATCAATATAAACAGTATTGTTTTCCCATGATAATTTAAAATACTGTACTTAGAAGTATTTATAAGTGTATGAACATGCATATGGTGAATTTTGTATTAAATATTGAATTTGTTTTTCTATGTATGATGTATGCATGCAATGTCTGTATGATTCAGAATGGCTGTTTTTCACCCAAAAATTCTGTCATTATTTATTCACCCTCATGTTGTTCCAAACCCGTAAGACCTCAACACAAATTAAGATATTTTTGATGGAATCTGAGAGCTCTCTGACCCTCCCATAGACAGCAAGGATCCTTACACGATC